GGGGAATAACTCCCCCCCACATATGCGCTTACTACGTGTGTCAACCGTGACGTCTGGAGACCGATCATTCCATTCCGAAAGAACGAACAAAACGATTCGATAAAAATAGCAATCCAAATAACGAAAATAACCTCCCGCCACGCCCCCGTAACACGCTGTCAGCGGCAGTGCCGCCAGAAAGCATTCTAATTCAGCCATTATGCAGTAGTCATCGCGCTGTAAAATGTAAATAAAACAGCCGGCCCCGGAGCATACATGAATACGAGCGCCCTGAAGCCGCGTTATGTCTCCCTTTACTCTATTTTTGTCCTGCTCCCTTTGTTCTATTCAATTCCGAGATTCTTACGCTCATTACTATCAAGACAAGAGAAGCGAGACTAGCTTCTCTCTGCTCCCTCGGTCTGGTTTTTCTTCTGCCTCTTCGCTCTTATTTTTCTACGAACTGACCTCCATTCCCGCTTGCTTCCTCCTTTCCCTCTGTTTTTCAGATCTTCATTCCCGGTTAAAAGCTTCACCTTTAGTCAATAAACTATGCATTCTGCCGCGTGGGTTATTTATAACCATATTTATTTCGCTGTTGTATTTCTGACTTTTCTGCTTCTGTGCCCTCTGTCTGTCTTTCTGTGTCTTTGTCTGTCTGTTCATGATTCCTTACTTGCCTACTTGTCTGGGTTTGCTTACCTACCCATCTGCTAACCTTCCTGCCAGCCTATCTCCCTCCTTGCATGCCTGCCTGCCTGTCTATGTCTGTCTGTCTGTCTGTCTGTCTGTCTGTCTGTCTGTCTGTCTGTCAGCTTGTCTGTCTACCCACCTACTTACCTATCTACCTGCCTGTCTATCTTTCTGCCTGCCTGCTTATCTGCCTGCCAGTCTGTCTGCCTGCCTACCTGCCGGTCTGTCTACCCTCCATTCTTCCTCTCTCCCATGCAACTTTCTTCCCTTAAATCCTTTGTTTCTATGTTCTCTCCCTCCCTGCAACCCTGCCTCTGCCCTCCTTCCTCTCGACCTCTAAATCGCCCTTTCACTTTCCTCATACTAATGTGCAAAATCCAAAGTTCTGCAAAATCTTTCCTCCATAAATTCCAGCAAATCTCCAGCATTTCACCTCAGAGGCTACCCAACCCCTCTCCTAACCCCCCCCCCCTCCTACTTTCCGTTCGCAAGTTTCCGAAATAGCAAGCACCTCCACTACAGCCTCCGGGTCGCGATTCCTGCACCTGCGAGCGAACCCCCAAGTGCACGCCCGCCGATTCCGGATTTTCTTCGGTGTTGTTCGCTTAAGTGAGGCGAGATCCAGGAACATCTGAAGGTAGAATCCTAAACCGAACGACCCGCGGCAAGTGTACTCTGGGACCCCTTGATGGCCATGAGCTAAATAAATACTAAAGGGATTAACGGTGACCTCTCAACACCGCAATAAAGTCCTCACTCTGCGCACATAGGCATGTGGTCTAGATTACAGACTATACGGAGAGTTTCCTCGCCATCGAAATTGCGTACTCAAGGCCTCATCAACAGCATGAGAACTTTGCGCCGTAAGCCCGAGTGATTCCCGCTTTATCCATCAGTTAACCATGTTTCTCGTAATCAACAGATGCACTCAAATTACCACGGTCTACTTCTGACAACACATGCCTGAAATTATCAGTTAGCCTCGCATGTTGCTTCCCTCCTGAAATTTCTTGCACATGTTCCGGCAAGTCTTAATATGCACATCCGCAAATTCCGAGCATTTCGCAAACGCAGATGCGCAGGATATCCTGAAGCTGACGTTTGAAGGCGGAGCTCCCCCCCCCCCCACTGCCTCATCCGTTCCCTTCCTCCTTCATTCTCCCTTCTTATTATTATTTCTAATCCTACTCCTCTGTCTTCTACTACTTCTCTTATTTGTTATTCTCCCTTCTTCATTTTCTACCCATTTTCCGTCTCATAGTTCTCCCTTTTTCTTGTCACATTTTGTATTCCTCTTCATAGAATTATTTTTTCTTTCTTCGCTTATTTTTTACTCCCTTTCTCCCCCTTTTATTTTCCCTCTCTTTCCCTTCTACCTTTTCTTCTCCTTTTCTTTTATCCTTTTCTTCTTCATTATCTCAGTCCTCCTCGCTTCTACTACTATTACCTCTATTGGTTCTTCTGCTACTACTGATAGCACCATTTCTTATCTTCTTTCTCTTTCCATTCCTCTCCCTCTTTGCCCCTCCACGCTCCTCTCATCATCCATCAACTACCCAGTCTCGCTCCATCTCTTGCCCTTCTCATCACACAAACCCAGACCCCTATTACACAGCCTCCTCACAGCCTCCACATACTCCGTGCAGCCTTCCTACAACCTCCATGTAGCCTCCACACAGCCTCCATATACTCCGTACAGCCTACCCACAGCCTCCACAAGCCCATACAGCCTCCACAAGCCCGTGCAGCCTAGCCTCCACAAGCCCGTGCAGCCTCTCCAACAGCCTCCACAAGCCCGTGCAGCCTCCCCACAGCCTCCACAAGCCCGTGCAGCCTTCCAGTGCCTCCACAAGCCCCAGCCTTCCCACAGCCTCCACAAGCCCGTACAGCCTTCCCACAGCCTCACAAGCCGTGCAGCCTCCCACAGCCTCCACAAAGCCGTGCAGCCTCCCCACAGCCTCCCACAACAGCCTCCACAAGCCCGTACAGCCTTCCCACAGCCTCCACCAGCCCGTGCAGCCTTCCCACAGCCCCACAAGCCGTGCAGCCTCCCCACAGCCTCCACAAGCCCGTGCAGCCTCCCACAGCCTCAGCCACAGCCTCCAGCCGTGCAGCCTCTCCACACAGTCCACCCCGTGCAGCCTCCCCACAGCCTCCAAGCCCGTGCAGCCTCCCCACAGCCTCCAAGCCCGTGCAGCAGCCGTGCAGCCTGCCTCCACAGCCCGTGCAGCCTCCCCACAGCCTCCACAAGCCCGTGCAGCCTCCCACAGCCTCCACAAGCCCGTTCCCCACAGCCTCCACAGCCCGTGCAGCCTCTCCACAAGCCGTGCAGCCTCCCCAGCCTCCACAAGCCCGTACAGCCTTCCCACAGCCTCCACAAGCCCGTGCAGCCTCCCCACAGCCTCCACAAGCCCGTGCAGCCTCCCCACAGCCTCCACAGCCCGTGCAGCCTTCCACAGCCTCCACAAGCCCGTACAGCCTTCCCACAGCCTCCACCACCGTGCAGCTTCCCACAGCCTCCACAAGCCCGTGCAGCCTTCCCACAGCCTCCAACAGCCGTGCCTTCCACAGCCTCCACAAGCCCGTGCAGCCTCCCACAGCCTCCACCAGCCCGTGCAGCCTCCCACAGCCTCCACAAGCCCGTGCAGCCTCTCCACAGCCCAGCCCCACAGCAGCCCGTGCAGCCTCCCCACAGCCTCCACCAGCCCGTGCAGCCTCTCCACAGCTCCACCAGCCCGTGCAGCCTCTCCCACAGCCTCCACAGCCGTGCAGCCTCCCCACAGCCTCCACAAGCCCGTGCAGCCTCCCACAGCCTCCACAAGCCCGTGCAGCTCCCCACAGCCTCCACCAGAGTCTCCATAAGCCCGTGCAGCCTCCCACAGCCTCCACACAAGCCCGTGCAGCCTCCCCACAGCCTCCACAAACCCGTGCAGCCTCCCCACAGCCTCCACCAGCCCGTGCAGCCTCCACAGCCTCCACAGCCCGTGCAGCCTCCCCACAGCCTCCACAAGCCCGTGCAGCCTTCCCACAGCCTCCACAAGCCCGTACAGCCCCACAGCCTCCACAAGCCTCCACAAGCCCGTGCAGCCTCCCCACAGCCTCCACAAGCCCGTGCAGCCTTCCCACAGCCTCCACAAGCCCGTGCAGCCTCCCCACAGCCTCCACAAGCCCGTGCAGAGCCCGTCTTCCCACAGCCTCCACCAGCCCGTGCAGCCTCCCACAGCCTCCACAAAGCCCGTGCAGCCTCCACAAACCCGTGCAGGCCTCCACCAGCCCGTGCAGCCTCTCCACAGCCTCCACCAGCCCGTGCAGCTCCCCACAGCCTCCACGAGCCCGTGCAGCCTCCACCAGCCCGTGCAGCCTCCCCACAGCCTCCACCAGCCGTGCAGCCTCCCCACAGCCTCCACCAGCCCGTGCAGCCTCCCACAGCCTCCACAGCCCGTGCAGCCTTCCACAGCCTCACCAGCCGTGCAGCCTCCCACAGCCTCCACCAGCCCGTGCAGCCTCCCACAGCCTCCACAGCCCTGCAGCCTCCCCCCAGTCTCCACGAGCCCGTGCAGCCTCCCACAGCCTCCACAAGCCCGTGAGCCACAGCCTCCACCAGCCCGTGCAGCCTCCCACAGCCTCCACCAGCCGTGCAGCCTCCCCACAGTCTCCACAGCCCGCGCCTCCCCACAGCCTCCAGCCCGTGCAGCCTCCCCACAGCCTCCACCAGCCAGTGCAAGCCTCCCCACAGCCTCCACCAGCCCGTGCAGCCTCCCACAGCCTCCACCAGCCCGTGCAGCCTCCCCACAGCCTCTACCAGCCCGTGCAGCCTCCCACAAGCTCCACAAGCCGTGCAGCCTCCCCACAGCCTCCACGAGCCCGTGCAGCTCCCACAGCCTCCACCAGCCCGTGCAGCCTCCCCCCCATCTCCACGAGCCCGTGCAGCCTCCCCACAGCCTCCACAAGCCCGTGCAGCCTCTCCACAGCCCACAAGCCCGTGCAGCCTCTCCACAGCCTCCACCAGCCCGTGCAGCCTCCCCACAGCCCTCCACCAGCCCGTGCAGCCTCCCCACAGCCTCCACGAGCCCGTGCAGCCTCCACCAGCCCGTGCAGCCTCCCCACAGCCTCCACCAGCCAGTGCAGCCTCCCCACAGCCTCCACCAGCCCGTGCAGCCTCCCCCCAGTCTCCACGAGCCCGTGCAGCCTCCCCACAGCCTCCACGAGCCCGTGCAGCCTCCCCACAGCTTCAGCAAAGCCTCCAGCGCGACGTCGTCCTCCCGACCGTTAAGGCCAGCGGAAGCTCAAGGGGCGCGACGAGTGATTACCGTCCCGGCTCAGATTAA